AGAAGGAAGAACAGCTCGAGACTGAGGCAATCGCCGAGTACAAGCCAACGTCACAGGCGCTCGATCCGCTTCCTCAGCGAGACTGGGACACGCTCTTGGATGAATTTCTATGAGTTTGATCATCATATCTTGGGTGCGACCTGGAGGTTCGAACTCGGGGTGGAAGACACTAGAGGTGCCATCTCAGATGTTAAAGACGCTGGATCGCAGCTTCTGCAGCCTCTATCGCAACTTCGCAAGACAGACTTCTCACGCCTCTGAGCGAATCCCGGTCCTTCCGACGCCGGAACTGTTACGGCCAAGCACATACGAGCCTTGACGGCTATAAAGATGTATTGGCACTATGAACGAAGACTCAAAGCTAAGGAGCAAGAAAGAAGGACTAGACTACACGACCGAGCTGGCCCTTATGTGCATATGCACGAGGTTACCTCAGCAGCGCTCAGGTAAGCACGAGGTCGCACGTGGGCACGTGATGCTGCTTGGGCACGCGACACTGGTGAGGTTCTGCGCTGGTGTCTCTACGCTGGCGCGCAGGGTCGTGACAGGAACCAACACCACAGCTGGACAGAAGGGACGCCTCACCAGCTTCCAGGTCAACCGGCTCAAAGATTTCAACACCAGACCCACCGTTGCAAACAGACCCGAGCTCACCTGCCCAACGTTCTGTGGCTGGTTCAAACAGCGATCTAACTGAGCATCATAACGCCGAAAGCTCTCCAGTGGAGTTAGAGTCTCTGCCCCAACAAGACAGAGAAACAAGCTATGATAGCCAAAGGTCGACTGATTCAAGCGATCCAAGTCCTGAAGGAGTCACCGGGACACGATCGTAGTTCAACCGCTGCCACCACGCCGGCGACCTTCCTCAGAAGGCAATAGCATGCAACCGGACAAGCAGCCGTCAGGTGACCAACCAATTCCTGAAGAACCACGCGGCAAAACGCGCACCCGCCGCAGTCAACAGGCGATTTACGGTGACCAGCCAACTCGCAAGAGTGACCGGACACCAAAGCCAAAGAGGAAGCACGATGATTACGTCAACAGCGTTTTCACGGCCCTGCTTCCAGCGGATCAACATCCAGAGGAAACCTCGAAACATTTCATAGTGTCTTTCTTGCCGCAGTCTCTAAGACGGCACGAGATCATCGATTTCACCGCGATGACCTTGTACGACTCCCTAAACGCTACCAGGATCTAGAAAACCACCCGATGGGCCCAGACTTCAAAGAGGCCATAAGGAAGGAATTGCACGATCTCCTCCGACGTGGCACCTGGAGACTGGTCGAACGCAGCAAGGCACAGGGATCGCCTCTTCCACTGAAGTGGGTGTTCACCTATAAGTTTGATCAGGACGGATACCTCCAAAGGTGCAAAGCTCGGATCTGCGTCCGTGGCGACCTGCAGGACGAGGACGACGGACGGGAGACATATGCAGCCACCCTTGCAGCAAAAACCTTCAGAATCGTGATGGCAATCGCAGCCCGATTCGGTCTTGACGTTAGACAATTCGACGTTGGTAACGCCTTCCTGTACAGCGACCTAAAGAAGGACCATCCCGTCTACGTCCGGCTCCCGCAAGGCTTTGTAGAACTTGGTTTCTTGAAACCTGGAGAAGGCTCAACCATGATCGCGGAACTTGACAAGGCCTTGTATGGTCTTCGAGAGTCTCCACTGCTCTGGTACAATGAGATCTCCCAGGCCCTCAAGGAGGCAGGGATTGACCGTACGGATGAAGAACCTTGTGTGTTTACCAACGGCAAAATCCTGGCTCTTGTCTATGTCGACGACATCTTGATTCTCAACCCACGGCAAGAGAAGAAGGCGGTAAACGACCTGGTCCAGCATCTCCAATCCAAATACGATCTGCGCGAAGAAGAATTTAAGTGGTATCTTGGCATCAGAGTTGTAAGGGATCGACCAAACAGGAAGATCTACCTCTGCCAAGACGCGTACGTCGAGAAAATTGCGCGAAAGTTCAAGCTCAGCGACTTGAAACTCCGAGTACCATCAATCCCCATCGCGACGATCCCGCTCGTCAAGTACAACGGGCAGGCTACCAAGGAAGAGATAAAGGCGTATCAGGAACGAGTTGGATCCTTGATGTATATCGCGGTCATGACCAGACCCGATATAGCACGAGCAGCAGCCCAGCTCGCGAGGTTCCTGACAAACCCATCGCCTGAACACCTTGAAGCCGCAAACCAATGCATCCGATACCTATACTCAACGAGATTCCTTGCAATCATGTACGACGGGATGCATCAGGGAGAGGTACTTGTGATCGCAAGCGACGCGTCATTTGGAGATGATATCGAGACCCGTCGTTCATCGCAGGGATATGTGATGATGTTGTTCAACGGACCGGTCATATGGAAAGCTGGGCTCCAAGACACAGTCACGTCTTCAACCACCGAAGCAGAAATTCTCAGCCTAGAGAGAACAACCAAGGAGAGTTACGCCCTGGACCGACTATTAAGGGATATCTCTCTTGATCTCGGGCCTCTGAAGATTTACTGCGACAACCTTCAGTCGATCCGACTAGTGGTTGAGGAGAACCAGAGAATCACGACCAAGTTGCGGCACGTTGACATACAGAACATGTGGCTAAAACAGGAATTCAAGAAGGGTAGGTTCCTAGTGGAATACTTGAAGACTGATCAGATGCCAGCAGACGGATTGACCAAAGCGCTATCGAGAGCGAAATTCGAGCACTTCCGATCGATGCTGAATCTGACAGATATCAAGAGGGAAGCAAATTTGGAAGTGGGATGTCGATGACCTTCTAGGTCAGGCTGGTTGTGATAGCTTCTAGCAGCGTTGACTTGATCACTCAACGCTGGGGGGTGTGTCGCATATCAAGCCTGCCTAGGATGATTATTCATGAAGTTCTCACGAAGAGAGCATGCAAGTGGGCATTGATTGTGTAACGATGGGTATGATGTGTTGTATTCCGTCGTGTCTGTCCCTCTTGCAAATGCCCTCTTCTAGGCTCCCTATTTATATCCCTTGGTTCCCTATTGATATCCCTTTTCAGTTGTATAGGTACAATATCTAGGGGGCTGGGCTCCTTTCCCCAGCCCCCCCTTTGCATACTGACTTTCCCTAGTCGCCGAGGGCTCTTTCAGCTTCCCCCGTATATGCAGTCTCTCTACAGCCTATGTGGCTGCCTAATGCGGTCTCCTAATAGTCTTCTGCAGCCGCAGAACTCTCTGCAGGCTGCCTTTCTGTCTAGCCCGTCGGGGCCCTTAGCTGTATACCCCTTATGGGATCCCGAGCTCAAGATCTCAGACGTGCTTCGCGACAGAAGTGGCGATGTTACTCGCAACGCCGCTGTTGCCTGCTAGGCAACCACTACTGCGTAATCACGCGACGGACCTTTCATTTGCGTATAAAGAGCTGCACAACTCCGTGCGTTCGTTCACTTCTTGTTCTTTAGATAATTCTCATCAATTGCCTGATGCCATCTCTGACCCGTGTGGAGCCAAATGTCTGACAGTTGGCGAAAGGGTGGGGTTGGCGAAAGGGTGGTGGTGCATGGTAGTCGTTTACTTCCCGCCTCCGGCTTGTCACATGGCGCCGACATACCACGCCACGTTTGGACGGTCGTCTAGTTTTGACATGTTTTTGTCTTTTGTTTTGTTTCCGTTTTTGTGTTTGTTTTTGTTTTTGTTCTTGTTTTTGGCTCAGTGCGCGTGGATCGTGAAACTCTCATCCGTAGGCTTTACCCTACGGTCCCTATCTGCCCGTGGGCAAGTTCTCCTGGTTGCGCGCCCGTGATGAAGTCGCTGCGCATTACTGGCCACAACCGAGTGGCACACTGCGGTTGCAGGGGCGGTTGGCTCTGGTCGCTCTCCTGTGTCACCGAGCAAGTTGAAATGCCATTCTGCTGGGGCCCATCGACTAGGCCCATTGACTGGGGCCATGAGAAACCCTGGGGCAATTGTTGCATGTTACCCGAGCCACGGCGACATCTGGCCAACCTCTCTTGAGGTCTTGCCGGATGTAACCCGGGGCTCCGAACAGCACTGGTTTACAGCCGTTCCTCTCACAGTGGAGGGCTGCATAGATGCCAGCGTAAGCACCACGACAGTCCAGCCAATAGTGGTTGGCAACCACAACCCCCGCGAACATGACTACCTTCAGCGAGTGTGACATGTTTGCTAAATTGAATTGTTCCCGGCACGCCCGTTCACTAAGATTACTAGGGGTGCCGTGTTTGGGTGAGAAGCTAACCAGTATCCAATTCTGCGTGTCGGAACGTGTTGTGCCTGGCGTTGTAGCTGCTAGTTTGTGGCGTTTCCGTGATGGCGTACCTTGGATGGTTTGAAGATGGTCGGAAGTGATTTTGAAATCCGGCGGGCCACGGATCCGGCAGATCACCGGTAAATCACTTAGTTGCCGACACTTTTCACTAAGATTACTTAGTGTCCGTACGACGGATAGGAAGGTAGGTAGGAAGATAGGTAAAGAGGTGATCTTAGTAGTTGTATTGCTTAGAGAGTAGCTAGAAAGCTTGCTTAAGAAAAGGATATCTAGTAGACATAAAGTCCCTTTATATAGAAAACTCCTCCTTTCTTTCCTCTGATTATTCGTTCGATCCTCTAGGCAGCAGGGTATTATTCTAGACAACTAGTCTTAGATCTAGGAATTCTTTATATAGAAAACTCCTCCCTTTCTTTCCTCTGATTATTCGTTCGCAGGGTTCAAAGCCACTCCTCCACTACACATTCGAGAATGTGGAGTGGATGTGATGATTACTAAGATCACGGCCGTGGTGTGGATGGTAGATATGGATCCACATGTGGAAATTCTTTCCACATTTACCCGTTGGCGGGGCCCTTCGGGAGCCACTAAGGGGACAAGCCCCTTAGTTGGGGAGCTAATGTGTGGACGCGCCCCGAACCCGTGCACACCCCACCACACTCGCGCTTGACCGTAGCTCCCACCAAAAATACGCGTAACGCGTGGTAGTCAGACTGTGCATCACATCCATCATCACTATGCGTACCCACGCCGGCGCAGCCGCCGCCGCCGCCGTTGAGAAGGCTGCAATGCTGGTCATTACCTCTCGTGACGACCTCACGTATGGCAGGCGCCGGCAGACGCGTAGCTCGTCTGCCAAGCCCGTCTCTATTAGGCAGGCTGCAGCTATCTTCAACGTGCCCTCCTCGACTGTTCAAAAGGCCGTACAGCGTGCCCTTGGCCGCCGTAGTTCGGCTGGCCGACCAAGACTTCTTTCTGACGATGAAGACGATGCCGTCGCCGCTTATGTTACGTGGCTTCAACGCTCCGGCTTCCCGGCAACCAGGCAACAGGTCCAGGCTGTCGCCCTGACCCTTCTTCAACGCCGTGATCCTAATGCCCGAGCACCTGGAAGGCATTGGTACAATGCTTGGATTGACGCCCATCCAGAACTTCGGGTCACAACGATCAAGGCTGTAGAAAGAGCTAGGAAGACATTTGAGGCTAGTGATGTCTGCTATATCGAGGCCTTCTTCCAGAGGCTTGAAGACATCGTCAACCAGTACAAACTTAGATGAGTGCCCGTACACGGAAAGGCAAGGCTGTCAAGGCCAGCGAGGGCACTTTCTATACAAGCGTCAGCCTTGCGGATATTCGTCAGTCACAAGAGTCATCCCAGAGGCTCGCAGCCCAGAAGTCACATCGTCAGGAGCTTCGCCAACTAAAGGCTATGGTTCGTCGCGAGAGGGAACAGCTACTCGAGCAATATCGTAACGAGAAGTTCCAAGTGATCAATGGCAAGGCAAGAAGACTCACGATCAAACAGTGGCTCGCTTGGAAGGGGAAAAGCGATGACTATCTTGCCCTCGAGACAAGCGAAGAGATGTATGCACGCCTCCTCAAGCCGGCAGACAAGTTCACGATAGACACAACCCGCACGCCGCTTTGTGCGCCCTGGCGTGAAGGCCGACGGTACGCCAGCAGAGCAAGCGGCTGTGGCCGCAGCTTGCGCATCAGAAAGACCGTTGCAGTCAATTCAATGGCCTCATATTGAGAGAGAGGGGTCTATTGAGATTATCACATCGTCACAACAGCCGCCGCTGCCACAACGAGCACCATCGTCATCGCCGCCACTTACGGAGCCCTCGCTGTCATCGTCGCCGCCGGGCACGCCTACGCCACGCGAGCCAGGTTGGAAGAGACTTGAGGCTATTATTCGAGACAGCTATATTGAAAGGGCATCGATTTAAGATCTAATTGATATATAAATTGGCTAAATAGCTAATCTAGTGAGGATAAAGGGGAGAGTGTAGGTATAGGGGTCAAATGGGGCAAAAGAGGGCGGCCACACGTTTCAACAGCAACACATGCATGCCTCAACGCCATGCAACTGCGCACAACACTTGGAATCCAGATAATCAATTGCTTCATATACCATGATTTAATCGCTGTACACGATGCACCAATTTTTATTAGGCCTAGACAGGCGTGGAATGCGTGGGCTGACTTTTGCACGCAATTGCTGCATAAACCGCGTGCACGGGTTCGGGGCGCGTCTGTCGGAAAACGCGGTTGTCAGATATATGTGTCAATTGCAGCGCACCTGTCGGAGCGCGTTCCACTTTGCCTGCGTGGCGCAATGGTCTTCGCGACAGTTATGAGCCCGGGAGGATGGCACACCCCTGCAACTTCCGGTGACTGCGCGTTGCGGGGTAATACCCGTAGATAGCCGTGTACCCCTCCTTCTCTTGGATTTCCCTGGGTAATGGGCGCGGTGCTTGGTGTTCGACTCCCGCGTCGTGGGCTGCTAAGGTCCAGGAATCCCGGCGGAGCCGCGATCCCTGAGGGGGTGTGTCGGAAAAACGCGGTTGTCAGATATATGTGTCAATTGCAGCGCACCTGTCGGAGCGCGTTCCACTTTTGCCTGCGTGGCGCAATGGTCTTCGCGACAGCGTCCACACATTAGCTCACCAACTAAGGGGCTTGTCCCCTTAACGTAATCCACCCCCTTCCCGGTCAGACCCCCTACTCGGTCAGAAAAAGTCTCCACGCGGCGACCCACACTTATGGCAAGACAAACCGAGCACTATGACGGCAACGGGAGACCAATCGGTTCCACGCGAAGAACGGGTCCTGCTCGCCGTCAGGGCCTATCAGCAGGGCCAATTCAAAGTACCCGCAAGGCTGCGGCCGCATACGACGTCCCTCAATCGACAGTATCTGATCGACTGCGCGGTGTCATTCGCCGACGCGACGCTCAGATGAACAACCTGAAGTTGACGGCGACGGAAGAGACTGCCCTGGTACAATGGATCTTGTCGATGGACGAGCGAGGAATGCCGCCGACAGTGGCTTACACTCGTCGGATGGCCAACTTATTGCTTTCCGAGCGAGGCAAAGATCCTGTCGGGGAAAACTGGGTGCGGAAGTTTGTTGGCCGCCACGGCGAAATCAAGGCAAAGTACTCGCCGATACGACTACCAACGAGCCAAATGCGAAGACCCCAAAAGATCCAAGGATGGTACGATCGAGTCGCGGCGACGAAACAGAAATGGGGATTCTTGACGAGGATGTCTATAACTTTGATGAGACGGGGTTTCAAATGGAGTCGCTGCAACGGCGAGAGTCCTTACCCGGTCTGACCGGCGAGGTCGGGCAGTACTCACGCAGCCTGGAAATCGAGAATGGGTTACTGTGATCGAGTCTATCAACTGCCAAGGTTGGGCTTTACCGGCGAAGGTTATCTTCCAGGGCAAGTTACACCAAGCAAGCTGGTACGAATCAGGAGTGCCCGATGACTGGCATATCGCCGTTAGTGAGAATGGCTGGACTTCCGACGACCTTGCTTTGAATTGGTTAAAGGAAGTCTTTGATCCGAATACACGGCGCCGTACGGTTGGTACGCATCGACTTCTTATTCTCGACGGGCACGGCAGTCACGTCACGCCGGAATTTGACAAGTACTGTACGGCCAATTCCATCGTAGTACTCCAAATGCCTGCACATTCCTCACATCTCTTGCAGCCTCTTGATGTCGGGTGCTTTTCGCCGTTGAAAACCATATACGGCCGAAAGGTTCAAGAGAAAATGCTCGCTGGGATCCATCATATCGACAAGCAGGACTTCCTTCCCATGTACTTAGACGCTCGCCGACAAGCACTTTCGCCGTCGAATATCCGAAGCGGATTTATGGCAACAGGCCTTTTTCCGTTTGACCCAAACAGAGTATTATCGCGGTTACAAGTTCAGGTTGACAAAGTCGGTAACGATCACGGCGACAAGAATACTCCAAGTCCCAACAAGAGCCTGGAAGCAGCCAAGACTCCGCATAACGTCAACCAGCTTACCACTCACGCCGAAAGGCTTCTTCAACGCCGGCCACAAAATACAGACTCGCCAGTTTCACAAGCTATCAACCAGCTTATCAAAGGATGTCAAATGGCCATGCACAGCGCCGCCCTCCTTGCCGACGAAAACCGGCAACTTCGGTCAGAAAACCAGCGGCGAAAGCAGAGAAAGAACAGCGCCGTGAATACATTGGCGACGGCGGTACTCTATCGGTTGCAGAGGGCACGGTTAGGATAAAGCAACGGAGAGAAGAAGAAGAAGAGCGGGTTAAGCGACGGAGAGTGGAAGAAGAGGAGAGGACTAAGCGCCGGCGAGAGAAGGACGAGGCGGGCCAAGCGACGACAAGAAGGAGAAGAGCGGGCCGAGCGACGGCGACAAGAGAACGAGGAATGGTTCAAGCTACGGCGAGAAAAGGAAGAGGAGCGGGTCAAGAAACAGAGAGCAAAGGAAGATGAGCGGGCCAAGCGACGGCGGGAAGAAGGGAGCGGGACCAACGACTTATAGAAGAGCTGAGTGTCCCAAGACAGCGTGCACCACCACGGTGTAGTAAGTGCAGGTCTTTGAACACACTGCCCGTACGTGTAATAGATAGTCCTAATCGAGTTACTTGTCTCTTGGAGTAAATATGTCGTGGTATTGTGCTCCGTTTGTCTCGCGTAAGGTGCGGGTCTAGTCGGTGGGGAATTTTTGACCGAGTAGGGGGTCTGACCGGGAAGGGGGTGGATTACGTTAGTGGCTCCCGAAGGGCCCCGCCAACGGGTACGGGTGGAGGCTGCTTAGTAACCTCAGCTCTTGTTGAAGGGTATCCGCAATTTCCACGATTTCCACGGTTTCCACATGTGGCCAGGCAACTCTCCCCTGTAAAAATTCTTCTCTTCTGCGGGCTGTTAGCAGCCTGTTAGTGGATAATTATTTTCAGGTCACCCGACCATGCTTCTGCCTCTCTAGCCCTAACGGGGCTCTAGCAAGCACCAAAGGCAGACTTTGAGAGTTCGTCTCCTCTTGGGAAGCTGGTCTCGAATAACGGCATGCCTCGCGCTGCCTCGCCTTCTGCCGCCTCGCGGCATCGCCTCTTCTGCCGCCTTTACTGGCTGGCCTCGACTTCTGCCGCCTCGCGGCCCCGACCTCTTCTGCCGCCTCGCGGCCCAACTTCTTCTCGCCCTTCCTGGCACGCCTCGCGCTGCCTCGCACCCTCTGCCGCCTTTACTGGCTGGCCTCGCCTTCTGCCGCCTTGCGGCTCTGCCTCCTTCTGCCGTCTCGCGGCTCGAACTTTGCCGCCTTGCGGTTCTGCCGCCCAGCGGCCACGACTTCCTCTGGACTGGTGGGCCGCGGGGGCCCCGAGGAGCTACAAGAGCCTAGAGCTCAAGGCCTCACCCGGGTGTCCCCCGGAGCTGCACACCAATCGACAACACCTCCACCACCTGCTTGCTACGAGGAGCAGGCACGGGGACTTCGCCGACTGTCATAACCACGAAGTGGCCCCGGATCGAACGCTCCTGCGGGAGAAGACAATCGCCATCGGGGCGAATCCCCGACTAACATTGCTACACTCTCTGCTTCCTTTCTTTTCTTTCTTTCTGCCCGTAGGCCCTCCTCGAGGGGGCTTGCGGCCGGCCCATGACTTCGTGGGCTTTCTCAGTCACCCGGCCTCGGCCAAAGACTGACTACTATTACGGCTTCACTGCCGTGCCTGGAGCCCGCTGACGGGGAAGGGCCCTGAATTTCCGACCGGCCTCAGAGCCTCAGAATTGCTAGATGGAGTGGTTAGGTGCTACACACGGTCCTTAGTCCAGGTACTCGGGATATTCTATGTATCTAGTCTCTCTAGCCTAGCACGTCTTTTGCCCTTATAGGGATGTCCCAGACGGTAATCAATACTACTACTACTACTACACATGTGGCCAGGGTCTTGTGGAGTGGAGTGGATTTGATGTGGATCCACATGTGAGTCCATATGTGGATATTCGTGGAGTGGCTTTGAACCCTGTTCGTCTGATCCTCTAGGCAGCAGGGTATTATTCTAGACAACTAGTCTTAGATCTAGGAATTTATCTTAGGCAGCTGAGTAATTATTCTAGGCAGCTATTCTTATGTCTAGACATTTCCTTCCCTTTTAAAGGAAGACCGATTCAGTGTTGCTAATAATATGACAATAAAGTACCGGTAGTTCTCAGCAAGCTGAGAGCGCGGGCGGAAGGATAAGGGCAGGCACAATTGAGTCCAAATGATGATGCATGTTTTCTATCTGTCTGTGCGACATTGAAGGGGTATTTATACGGAGATACCTCTCTAGGACCCGTGGTGCAGTGATCGGAATGGTCTGGTATGATATCTCTAGCTACAGAAGGAGTGGAAGGCTAGGTCTTATATAGACATAGCTGACAAATGTCGACATGATCATAGAACCTTCTAGAGACTACGAGTCTCTTCCAACAATAATCAACTAAATAATTACATTAATGGAATCCTTAATTCCCGGGCATGATCTGACATTATGCCCGGGCAATTTGCACATACTCTCACGAAGAAAGTCAGCAGAAAGGTCATATTGTATTCCGTGTCTCTGTTCTCCTCCCTTTCTGCCCTAAACCCAAGCCCCTATTTATATCCCTCTTTCGTAGTAAAGGTAATGTGTTCAGGGAGGCTGGGGACCTGGGGGTTCCCAGCCTCTCGACTGGAGATGTTCCAGTCTTTTAAGAGGAGCTTTCCAGCCTCCTCGTTCAGACCTGGTTATCAGCTCCCTTGCTGCCCTAGCTACCCATGGGTGACCTGGTTGACTCGACCATGGGCCGTACTTCATGACACACCCTTAGCTGTAGCCTACCCATAGGGAACAGCTAGATCAGCCTTATAGGGCCTCCTAGACGGAGGGACATCATTTCGGAATTAAGAAGGGAGAACCGTAGGACTCCTTCGCGAAAAGCTGGGCCATGTATACGCGGCAGGGGAAGTGACCTCCCAAATATTACTGAGCTAAGCCAGAGGAAATCCTCCTTTATTGCAAAGCTAGTTGGGGTTTTGCTTTCCTGCTGGCTCTGATCTTGTCAGCTAGGAGTTCCAATCGGGCTTCTCGCTGTAATCGGCTCCGTAAGTCAGCTACCCTATCATTCGGAGGAAATTTTGTAGCTTTTGGAAAGGAGGGCCTTCGTAAGGCCGTCCGCTCGCATTCGGGCCGTTGGAACCCATTGATTTTGATCCTTCCTTGTTGAGTCTCTTGACGAAGCCAATGCTGATGGATATCAACGTGTCGAAGTCTCGTAGAGAGCTTTGCACTAGCTTCTTCAAGCAGTCTGATGGTTTGTGTGTTATCAGATTCAAGCAACAACGGCTCTGGGATTTGAACTTGCAGAGATCGCAGCAACCGACTAATAAATATAGCTTCTTTTGCAGCTTCTGATATAGCTAGCAATTCGGCTTCGGTGCTTGACGTAGTGACTGTGGCCTGCTTCGAAGCTCTCAAGCAATTGGTCCGCCAAATAGTGTCATGACGTAACCTTGGGAACTTTTCCTATCGATTGAGTTGTCCGCAAAGCTTGCATCGCTCGAACAGAGGAAGATCTCAGCAGCAGCCTTTCGACCCATGTTACCCCCTAGCCTAATACCATATGATCGTGTGGCGTAGAGGTAAAGGATCACTCTGTCGGCTGCCTGCTGGTGTATTTCGCCGGGGTTCTGGTTGTGCCTTGCTAGTCGAGAGACCGCAAAAGCAACATCCGGCCTCGTTGAGATAGCCGCAAATAGTATAGATCCAACCTTTTGCAGAAATCTGTGTAAATAACCCTTCTCTGCTTGGCTCGTTGAGGGAAGCAGTTCCTCAGATGCCATTGGAGTATCAGGGGGATTTGAGACGAGCCTGCTTGGGTCTAGGAGCTTATGGGCGATCTTCTCGATATAGGCGTCTTGCGTCAGCCAAATCGTTCGTTGAGATCTATCCCTAAGGATGTGTATCCCGAGGAACCACCTAGGCTCTCCAAGAAGCGTCATTTGATATCGAGCTTGAAGCCCTCTTATCGCTTCCTTTGCAACCTCCTGGTCTCCTTTCTTATAGGCCCAGATGATATCGTCCACGTAAAAGAAGACAAGAATTGCTCCCTTTCTCATAACACAGGGTTCTTGTGGGACTGTCTGAAAGCCTAGGGATTTAAGGGACCCGGTAAGGTGTTGTTGCCAAAGGAGTGGCGATCGTCGTAGGCCATAGAGGGCCTTCCTAAGTAGCAGAACTCTGCCTGGCTTAACGAATCCGGGAGGCATCCTCATATAGACTACCTCGTCCTCGAGTGGGCAGTTGACGAAGGCGTTGACTGCATCCATTTGATCAAGCTCGAGGTCGAATTCTGCCGAAATCGCCATTAGGGCCCTGAACGACATCCCGGCTAAGGTCGTAGCCGGGTAGGAAGGTCCCCTTTCCTGCTGGTTGCCGCAGACCACGAGACGAGCTTTGCACTTTGAAGGATCCCGTGCTTGTCTGTCTTGTAAATAAAGACCCACTTGCAGCCTAGAATTTGCTTGCCGGCAGCCCTCTTCAAGGAACCTCGAGAAAGGACCCCATCTCCTCGTGTGAGGCAAGGTGGTCTTTCTGAGCTTTGATGAATTCCTCTTTATAAGGGTGCCTTTCGAGCTGCTTCTGTGTCTCTGGCGGTTCGGGTAGGTTCTTCTTATGCGGCCTTTGTGTCTTTGGCTTGAAGATTCGTCCAGCATTGAAGGTTCCATGGAGCATATTCCTGATCTTCTGGGGATAGAAGTCCGAAATCGGTCTTGAAATTGATCTTCCTGGCGTATCCCTGTATGATCAAGTGGCTCCTGCGTTAAGTGCTCCAAGAAGGTAACTCTTTTCTTCTTAGGAGTCGAAACCGAAGGATTTATTAACGCAGATTTCTCCCCACCCCTCAGGGTAGCGACAGGAAGAAATACTGATAGAACGGCTTGAAATTCATCTTCAGAGGGCGGCGGCGTTAGCAAGAGTTCCTCGTTGGCTTTTCTTGGTCTTGTGCCTCCTCCTCGTCAGATTCTTCTTCAAAGAGGTCTTCTTCCTCAGACTCGGATTCTTCATCAAGGATTTCCTGATTTGCTTGCTGATCCTCTGAATAGAGACATTTTCGACTAGCTCGTCGATATTTGCAAGCAGCGGTGGTTGCTCGAGCTTGCCGTCGAAGAAGGTTCTTTCGTCGAATGTAACGTCCGGGTTGAAATAACCTTCCGAAGCAAGGGAACCCATATCCTAAAGATATTCGTAGAACTATAACCAACCAGGTAGCCGATGTGAGTTCTTGGATCGAGCTTTTGTAGCCTTCTCCTCTTCAACTGTGCGTTGGCAGTCATTGCGTAGGCCCTACAGCCGTACGCCTGAAGAGTTGCATGCTGGTTGTGGTCGGGTTCCTTCTTTTTTGTAAATAGCTCCAAAGGGGTCATCCACAGCTGTCGATGCAGATTCTCCTGATCAGAAGGTCTTGATAAGTCCGGTCTGGCTTTTGGATTCCGTGGGGTCCTGTTTTTCAAATAACAGGCCGCTTCCACGGTCTCTTTCCAAAGATCGTGAGGAAGCTTTGCAGCTATCCTCATCTTGCGGCCCTCTCCATTAGGGCACCTCCTGATCTCTCGGCACCTCCATTCTGGGATTGGGTGTTTGGGGACGAGGGTTCTGCTGAGATACCCTTCTTTCGAAGCCACTTCTTAGTTGCCTTAGTAAAGAGTTCTCCGTCTGAACGAATGGTCTTTACACTATAGTCAAATCGAAGCTTCATCCAGCTAACGAAGTCCCTAAGTGCCCCCCAGTTGTGTTTGTTTTGATAGGTCCGGAGAAAGTAGGGGAAAATCATGCCTGAATAGGCGTCTGTTATGAACATCACTCGAACGAATCCCTTATAATCAGGGGATAGGTCGGTCCAGTCGATCCAGATTTCTTCGCAAGGATGACTTCGATCCTTATTCGGGGTTCGCCTTGAGACCTGTCTATAGGCCCTTCCTTGGGCGCATGGTTCGCACTCAACGGTCCTTGGGCCCTTAATGCGAATACCCTTTCGTTGGCCAAGCATTTCGAGTGCTTGAGGGCCAGGGTGACCGAGGCGAGCGTGCCAAAGGTCCGAATCAGCTGTTGCGACAGGCCTAGGGTCTCGAGAGGTCCTTCTTCGTGCCTTTGTAGCTTTAAAAGCTGCCTCATCGAGGTCGTCTTGCATTGCAGGTTGGAAATCTAGCACAAACTGACGGTGCTTTCGGAATAAGACGCAAATTGGTTTCCTCCCTTCCTTATAGGCCAGCTGGGTTGGATTTGTAAAGGTATCCCAGTAGATCCCTTCTTCCTGAAGAGACTGAAAAGAAACAAGGTTGGCTGAGAATCTCGGGCAATAGGCAACCCGTTTTAACCGTAGCTGCCGGAGGGTTCCGTCTGGAGCTGTAACCGTAACATTGACTCTTCCGTAACCTCTATCCGGACTTCTGTGTCTCCTGTGACTAGATATTCGTTCCTGGCCTTTCTAAAGGAGCGGAAGCGGAAAGGTTATTGCAGACGTGTAAGGAGGCCGCCGAGTCTAGGAGGGTCGAGTGACGGAGTGGGTAGTCTATAGAGGTCGGTTTCTGATCGGCTGAATAGACGAAGGCGGGATTTGCTGTGCCAACAATCTTTCCAACTGGCTTTAGTTGCTAAGCCAAACCTTTGTTGATCTCATTGACTCTCCTCTGCAGCTCGGGGTCACTTTTTAGAGCCTTTTCTGCTTTTTCTCGTAGCTTGCTGTTTTCCTGTAGTAGGAAGGTCTGTTTTTCTCGAACAGCTGCCAGCACTCTGAAAGCTCGTGCCTATTTTCGCAAGCAGGGCAGCGTTTTCGAGACGAAGATGAAGGATTTGTATCCTCCTTTCGCTTTCTCTTCTTTTCGGCTGTGCTTCTGGCTCCGAATCGTCTATTGGGTCATCTGTAAGAAAAGCCCCGCCTCGCTTGATTCCTCTTTGCGGTTGTTGTTCCGCAATTTCCTTATTTTTCTTGCAACAATTTGGAACGTCCAACGGAAGGTGAGGCTGCGGGTGCTGGTTCCGCTACTCCTGGTGCGGGGCCGCTGCTGCTTCCACGGTGCTGCTGCCACATATGCAGGTCGATCAAATGCTTGTTGCATCTTTCTAGCCGCATCCTCGTCAAGGCGCCTGCTCTCTTCAAGGAAGATTGTTGCATAGCCATCACTAGGGGCTTAATGATTGTTGCAATATCTCGCAGCCACTGGCCAGTAAGCGCTTCCATTAGGAAGTACTGTATAGCTTCCTGTATGATCTCTTCCCATTTGACAAGCCACTCAGGGATGTTGTTGCTCTTTGAGTAGCTTCGAAGGTGACTCGAGTAAAGCTTCCTGATTCGCTCAGTCATAAATCCTTTGGTAGGGGCGGTTGAAGATTCCAGTGTTGTCATCCATTGACGAAGTGTATCTTCCTCACGCAACGAAATCATCTTTGCTGTGCCGATTGACTCCGTAATTGCCGTTCTAGCTTCCTTAATTAGCTTCTTCTCATATAGGTATTCCTTACGCATATTTTCATAACGTGAAGTGGCTGCCGAGAAAGCTTTCTGCTGAGCCGAAGTGAGGCCTGCATAGGTTATAACACCGGCAGCAAACTCGGAAAACGTAGGCCGAGCGGGGATTGTAACGGACTGTTCCTTCCTCAAATACTAGTCCATGGATGGTCTCGTCACCCTCGCACGAAGCTCCTTATTCCACTTATCCCAGTCCTGAGGTTCTGAGAGAATCGTGCGGCGGGTGGAATTGGTGTTCTTCGACATTGCGATTTGAAGGGTAAAGGGATAAAGGTATGAGTGATCAGATGGATTTGATCTTCGATAAATGGGAGTGCCTGCTGGCACTGTTGAAGGCGCAATATTGTGCACACGGAAGTTCCAGAAACTCTGTTTCTCCCGGGCTCATAACTCAGGAAGAAAGTCAGCAGAAAGGTCATATTGTATTCCGTGTCTCTGTTCTCCTCCCTTTCTGCCCTAAACCCAAGCCCCTATTTATATCCCTCTTTCGTAGTAAAGGTAATGTGTTCAGGGAGGCTGGGGACCTGGGGGTTCCCAGCCTCTCGACTGGAGATGTTCCAGTCTTTTAAGAGGAGCTTTCCAGCCTCCTCGTTCAGACCTGGTTATCAGCTCCCTTGCTGCCCTAGCTACCCATGGGTGACCTGGTTGACTCGACCATGGGCCGTTCTTCGCGACACATACTGCAGAGCCGTTGTGCGCCGGTTTTCCTGGTCGCGCCAGACCGCGCCCCTGACCCCTCGACGCCATTCGCCCTCTCTTCTGCAAGCCGAAGACCTTTCTCCACCGCTAGAACACCCCCATGAGCTACATATGAGCGTCGCATATCCCTCTTTCTCCTCTGCCTTTGGTTTTCGCTTCGGAGTCGCTCATTTTCCTCCGAAAGAAGGGCTGCGCCGTGCATCGCCATTTGGCATCCCTTGACCAAGTAACGCACTGCCTGGTCGGTTGGGCTGGCTTATTCATGCGCTGCCCTCGTACGACCTGTTTCTGAAGAGCCTTGGCTTGTGCCTCTAGCTCAGTAATGTTGTGGGGCGTTTTGGCTAAGCGTTGGCTTCCCGAGCCTTGGGGGTTGTAAGGCGCACACAACTAAACAGAGAGTGAGGAACGGGGTCAATCATTCAATTCATTGATCTCTGACGAGCTCCATCAGGTGCTATGCAACCCTACTTTTATAACCACGAGAGGCCTCCCAGCCCCGTGCTTTTCCCTGGAAAAGTCACTCCAGCCAGTGGTTGGAATCAACCAGCCATCTACCGTGGTCAAGCACTTTAGGCGCGTGACAGGGGTCGAGGGTAGTTGGCTGAAGTAGAGGACTTGGTGTCCTGACATTCAGTCGGGAAAGGACCTTCTGTGGATTGTACGGGACAATTCCGACAGCCTCAAATGCATTCTTAATTGTCTTCTCTGTAAATGTTATCCGATGGGCTTGGTGATAGAGGACTAGAAAGTCTGTTTTGTCGATGCGAAAAGTCCCCAGTTCTACCTTCTCTTGGACAAGCCGACCGTATGAGTTTTTGAGCGCTGAAAAGCATCCAAAATCGAGAGCTTGCAAAAGATGCGTTGAGTGTGGTGGATAGAAAAGCCAGATGATTGAATTCTTCTTGCAGAAGTCATCGAACTCTGAGTAAAATGGCTGCCGTGACCGTCAAGAAGGAGAAGTCGATACTTCCCGACCGCGCGACCGCGTGAGTGCTTGTCGAAGACCTCCGTCGACCACTTAAACCCAAGTTCGTTGTTCGTCCAGCCATTCTCACTGACACCAATGACCCAATTGGGCGGGATTCCTGTCCGGTACCAGGTCGATTGGTGGACTTTGCCTTCGAAGATGATCGTAGACGGCAAGGCCCAGCCAGTGACATTGACTCCTTCGATGACCGTTACCCAATTCCGATCTCCTGGTTGGACGACCTTTGGGCGACCTGACTTGGTACGAATCGCTGTTGGGTGCTTTGACGTCGACGGCTTTGTTTGTGTGACGACCTTGGCAGTTGCGATCACCCCATCTGAAATCCCGTTTCGTCAAAGTTGTAGATGTCCTCTGCTGCAATACCATATTTCGCAATTGTCGCTCGTACGAGGCTAAACCACTTGCCGATTTCCTCTGGGTCTTCGCATTACGCCCGTTGGTAGTCGTATTTTCGTAGGTATTTCGACATAAGTGCGTCGTGGCGCTGTACGAAGCGCGTGAGCCAGTTCTTCCCTACTGACGACCCAGGGGCGCGTTGTGAGAGGAGTAGATCGGCCATCCTTCGTACGAATGGAAGGGTCGGCGAAACCCACGCCCATCGAGTGAAATAATCCGATTAAGGAGCGCCTGCTCTTCCGTTGCTGTCAATTTGCGATTGTTAATGTTGGAAGACGCTCGTAGTCTCTAGAAGGTTCTATGATCATGTCGACATTTGTCAGCTATGTCTATATAAGACCTAGCCTTCCACTCCTTCTGTAGCTAGAGATATCAATAGGATATGTTTCTTCGACACAAAGATGAGCTCTTTCAAGCTACGAAAGATTTTGATGCTTACATTCAACGAACAACTGGATATCAGGTCCAAGAATATGGCATGGACAATGATGTGTCTTTCAACTGGACAACAGAGTTGATACCCTGGGCCCGGGCAAACGGAATCAGTCTCAAACCGACCGTGCCTGGTACACCCAGACAGAATGGATTGACAGAGAGGGCTGGATCGAAGATCACACAGCTCGCTCGATGCATCATGATTCACTCCAAGCTTCCGGAATTCTTGTGGCCCTATGCTCAAGAATCCGTCGTCAAAGTTCTTAACCTGCTTCCGTGCAAATCTAATCAAGGACTCTCACCTCATGAGGTCTTTGCCAGTTTTCTCCGAGTTAACGAGGAACTTCACAAACCCTACATTCGCCACCTACGCACGTTTGGTTGTGTTGCATACGTACACATCAAGAAAGAACGGCGCGTACAGGCCAGGAAGATGGCTCCAAGAGCTGAAGAAGGAAAGTTAGTTGGCTGGGAAGGCATTCATGGCAAAATTTACCACATTTACGTGCCAGCTCGGAATCGAATCGTCCGGGCATGTGATGTTCGCTTTTACGAGAAACTCCCCCAGGAACCACAAAAGTCGGCAAGCGCCGAAGAAGTCGATACAATTGAGTACGAAGCTACGCTTCTCGACGAAGTTCAAGAAGAAGAAGCTGGAGCAACCATCGTTGAGCGAATATCTGATTCGCTGTCAACCATCGAACCGGGAGGAAGGACGACTGATAAGGGTCCGTCCATCGAAGAAACGCAAGACCATCATCTGCCAACGCCGGAGATAACGCAAGAGCTGGATGAATCCCACGATTCTTCTGTGAATACTCTGTCAGACTCCGAAGACAGCCAGGAAATTGACGGACTGGCTGATGAACGGCCAATCCCTCCAGAAACAAGCGAGACTTACACCACGCCGGTCGTGAGTTTACCTCGACCGAGTCGTCAAAACGCGGAGCGACCCGCAGGGTACTATCAAAAGCTTCATCGCGGCAATTCGGGAGATCAGGCTTTAGCTTTGTTACCCCCAGACGTAGTCTCTCCGATAAACCGTCTAGAAACACTTTGTTTGACAGCAATGAAGGCGGAAAGCCTTGCAAACTCGCTGCAAAGGCTACCCGTTCCTAAGTCATACAGAAAGGCTCGAGTGTCCCCAGATTGGGAGACGAAGTGGAAACCAGCATTTGACAAGCAGTACAAGTACCTCCAAGATCGAAGTGTATGGACACTAGAAGAATTACCCCACGATGCAAAACTACTTCCCGGAAAATGGGTTCTCGACGAGAAGAAACTTCCGACAGGAGAACTGGTCGGCAGAGCCCGCTGGGTTGTCTGTGGGAATTTTGAGGAACACGACAGCTGGGCAGTCCAGGATGTGTATGCTGCCGTTGCAAGCACGACATCAGTCAAAATATTTCTTCTTCGACCTATCCGGCCCAAGGAGCCGGTATTCGAAAACCCAAGACGAAGCGAGCAATTAGCAGCATCGATTGCATGGGGTTTGCCCAAGCGCCATCGGGGACGGAGTTGGCGGGTAAAGGGAGTACCAGATCGGGGTATGGACGATGGCGCGGCAGGGCTAGCGGACGCTGAGCCGAGCGGACAGAGGCAGCCCAGGAGGCGGGAGAAGAGAGCCCGTCTTCGTAGCCGGGACGAGCGCCCGACAAAACAGGTTCGAAGTGGAATCGGAAGGCAGAGGAGACGGGAGCTGCAGGCCGAGGACCTGGCGAGTGTGCTGGGCTTTTGGAGGAAGACTTTGCCATAAAGGAGATTGTCTAACGATCAGACGTGGTGTACGCCAATATCGCTCGAGAGGAAGGTGTCGACGGTGCGAGACTTTTACCGGGTGTTTCACGATGCGAGCACGTTGCCGATACGGACGTGCATGCTGTGCTACCGCAAGCGTACGAGAGAGGAGCTGAGGGAGATCACATGGGATCGATGGCTGTCGAGCTGCGTCCCAAAGGGAGGCCGCTCACCATTCTCATGCCGGAGCTGCTTTCCGAGGGCGAGTCCGTGTCGGTGTGCGCCGAGTGTGGCCGATGCCTGGCGCGCGGGAGTCTGTCGCCGGCCGTCCACCTTCATATTCGCCTTGGCTGCGAGCACATGTTCCCCGATGAGCTCAAGGGACTCACGCCGGTCGAAGAGAAGCTCGTCTCGCTGAACTCGTGTTATGGGTTTGTCACGAGGTATAGCATTCCGGGCGGCCAGAGGCAGGCCGTGAGATACCCGAGGCACGTCAAGGGCCACATCACAGTGTTTCCGAACAATGTGCAGGAGCTGGCGACCAAAGTGCTCCCGCACCCCCTTTTGCAAGCACTGGATGAGATCCACGTCTCGTGGCAGGGCGCGGAGAAGCCGGCACCGAGCGACCTGTCGAGTCTCTTGTCGGTGAGGCGGCGGGTGGTCGAGAGGGCCCTTGTCTGGCTGAAGAGGAACAATCCCCACTACGCCGAGATCGAGATCGACGCGGCGGAGATGGAGAGCTGGGGAGATCCGATAGACGGGGTGCCGTCGTCGGTGTACGATCGCATGGAGCGGAACGAGCCATCTGCGTGGGAGAAGGCGCGGACGGCGCACGTTGTGCCTCCCACGGAGCGTGCCATGGACGACGAGGGGTCGGTGGAGATCGAGGAGCTCTTCGCCCTGCTCAACCATGGGCAAGAAGCAGGGGGCCAGGGTGAAGGCCACGGGCCCAACGGAGAAGGCGAGGTTCGCGATGGAATTGAACGTGGCCCCGTCGTTCTGTCCCTCCTTGCTGCCAATTTCCCAACACCAAAGGCTTTCCCAAGATGACAGCCAAGTCTGAAGTCACGCTCTCTAGACCGTCCGAATGGGCTTCCTAGTACGATGATTTCGTCTCAAGGGCTGAGACTTCCAAGGTCTTTGACTTTGTCAATATCGAAAAGGATGCTCCGATCCTGGGAGAACCAAAGGAGCCTATGACTTCCGATTAAATGCTTGAGTCACTCAACAAGTCGGCTGTCACGTGTCAGGGGTCGTCAGCAGAATAACGTCGTTGTTAAGCAGTGGCATCGAACCTTCTGATGACAACGTCATCTAGGCAGCCTGGGTAGTGACATCGCCACTCGAAGGCAGCCACAAGTGACAGAACTATAAGAAGTCGCCTTTTGGAGAGATGGAACAATCGCTTCAGAGCAGTCAATACACCACAACCTCTATGCACCTTCATTACTGTACTGTAACCTGCGATGGTTTTCGTTGATGATACGAGCTCTTATACAAGCTACCATCCTTACCCCCTTTGCTCACCCCTTTTGCTCTGCAAAAATGTTGCCGCTCCATACAAATTGGACCAACTTCACTTACTAGGTCCAGGAGGGGGATGAGGGACGAATTTTAGTCTCCCCTAGTAGGCCCTATGGGAAGTATCCTCCGGGCGAAATAAATCCATACCACACCGTACACATCAGCCAAGCAATAGAAGACCCCGGATCTAAAAGAGGGGCAGGCATGAGTCAACCCGACAGATAGCTGCGAGATGGGCCAAGCGGATGAAGAGGCTGAAGCAGACTCTGGAGTCTCCAAACGATGGGACTCGAATCACTCGATCGCGACGACCGCCCTACACAGCGATTCCCCCGCTGGCCCTCCGAGAAGCGTCGAAGCCTTCGACAGCCGGCAGGGCTCAAGTCCGGTTGAGCATATTGCGCCTGGTTGGCAGTAGTGCGGCGAAGGTGAAACAGTGTCTGCCCTTGAGCGCCGGCTTGACTCGCTCCTCACTCTTTTTGGCCGGGAAATTGCGGCGCGGAAAGACTGCCTCTGGCACAAAGTTTCTAGAAGCTGGGATGATGCGAGTAATGACAGGCGGCTCATGGCCGAGGCCGACACTTCAGGAGTGGCAAAGAATAGGTAATCCAGTCTCACGCCCTCCGCGCTCACGCCAGGCAGCCCATGTCGACTTTTCAACATCTTCATATTCCTCGGCTTCCCGGCTCTCTCTCGCCGGCAGACTGGAAGTATCGTGATGCAACTGAGCCAAAATGGGCGACCCCCGAGTTGAAGAAGCCATAGCTTCCGGCCGTTTGCCGCCGCGAGTCACCCGCGAGGAACTTGAAATGAGCCAAGACGTGGCGGGCATCGTCAGCATCTCTGTCGTCACAGCCCTGGCCACCTTGGTCGTCATCTGCAGACTGCTCTCGCGGAGGTTCATCATCAAGCGCTTCGGCTTCGGCCTGACGACGGAATAGCGCTGGCGTCGCTGGCGAGCCGCCCTGATGGAGGAGCCGTGGCAAGGACTGGCCAGCCGCTGACTCCCTTCCCGCACAGGTCGTCTTTATTCCCTTTGCGGCCCTTTGTATAGAACTCATCAACCTGGGCACCGGAAGAAGCATCGCCTTTGTCCGTTTCGCCATCGACGACGCCACGTGGGTGAGACAGCAGATTTTCGACTCGATTGCGCACTTGGTCTACGCCACTGCCCTCGTCCTCTGCCGCATATCGGGCCTCGCCTTCTACTACCGTATCTGCGCGCTGCACAAGGGGTTTCTCGTCGCCATCCGGATAATATTCGCCGTCTTGGTCATCGGTTACCTGGCGCAGATCTGCCTCATCATTTTCCACTGCAAGCCCGTCAACATGCTTTGGGCGCCCACCTCATTCGAGGACGAGACCAGGTTCGAATGCTTGGAGTGGGATGAGATATACGGCGCCATCTCAGGCATCTCACTGGCCTGCGACCTGCTGCTCTTTGGCCTCCCGTGGCCATGCTCAAGATCTTGGAGATGCCGCGGAAGCAAAGGTTCAACTGGCCTGCATCCTCTTGCCAGGCATTGCGTAAGTATTGGGTACACCGGCAACTACCAAGGCGACGCGACTCTAACCGCATAATGCAGCGTCGTTGGCATCTCCGTCAGTCGAATTGTCTTCGTGATTGGCTTTGCCTGTGAGTAAGCCCGTACCGCCTGGGTCCAACTATTTACTGACGTGTTGCAAACAAAACCAAGACCAAACTCCCGATACTTTTGATTTTGCCTTTCTAAGGTTGCTCGTCGTCGAAGTCTCCGAGATCGGCGCGACGCTCATTGCCCTGTCGATCCCGGGCGTCAAGCCCATGGTGGACAAGTTTATCCTCCGAAAGGACATTTGCTCCAAGTTTGGTGGATCCAGGACGGTCAGGACCTGCTCCAACAGGGGCAGCATCGGGTCCCAGAGCTCAAGCCTGAGCATCTTGAAGGGCCGCTCGCATTCCAGCGTCTTCGACGACGACAGCACCGCGCAACACGGAGCGGCCGTGTGCCGGGGCGAGCTGAACGAAGACGTCAAGCAGGAGGGCATTCAAGTGACGGTGGACATCTATGTCGAAGGCGCACAAAGCTAGTTCGAGGAAAGGCACCCGAACTTCATATAGTTGTGACGGTACAAGTGCACGAACAAGGTCGGGTGCGACTTGGGTAAAGTGATTGTCTACGAAGAGAGAAGGAGGTTCCTAAGGAAGACTCTGACTTTCGCTATTTACATGAATCAAAGTGAGACATTTCATAAAGTATGAAAGTCACATGATCGTTCCCTCACACATGGGCCTCCCTTACTCCATCGCTTCTGATTCTTCCACGTCTTGCTGAGCCTGTAGGCGAGCATTTTGCACTTCTTGTTTCGTGGGTCTGGGTTTGTTTTTGCTGTGCTTCTCGAAGTCTCTGATGGCGATGTGAGCGTTGACGACGTTCTGTAGTGGTTCCCATGTTGCCTGCTCAAGGTCGAAGCCTCTCCATAGTATATGGTACTGGAAGCCTTTCTGTTTTGTGCGTTTCGAGTCCAGTATTGCTTCAATCGCCCAGAGTTTCTCCCCTTTGCATCTAGCGTTATTGGTGGGGCGGTGTGTTGTATTGGCCGGGAGCGGGTCGTTTGGTGACGGTCGTAGGAGGTTGGCGTGGAATGAATTGTGAATTGAGTCTAATTCATGTGGCAACTTCAGTTGGTAGGAGTGAGGTTGAGCACGCGCTCGATTCGAAAAGGGCCAATGAACTTATGATCTAGTTTGGGGATGGGTCTGGCCGAATCGATGTTGCGTGTGCTAAGTAGCACCATGTCTCCAACTCGGTACGCTGGCGCCGGTGATCTATTTGCGTTGGCGAACTGTTCTTGTGAGGCTTGAGCTGAGAGCAGGTTTGTCCGAAGTAGATCAGTGATTTCTTGCATCTTGGCGACAAATTCGTTCCCCTCGTTGCAGCGTTCTGCCAGGTCTTTGGATGCCGCGAGTGGTATTGCGCGAGGGGGACCAAAGCTCATTCGGGGGTGGTAGCCTGTGTTCGCAAAAAATGGAGACATTCCCGTTGAATCGCTAACAACGTTACGGGCTGCGAATTCGGCCAATGGGAGCCACTCGTCCCAGTCGTCCTGAGCAAAGCTAACATACTGGCGAAGGTATTGTTCGAGAAATGAGTTAGCGTTTTCCGTCTGGCCGTCAGTTTCGGGGTGATATGCTGTGGAGAGGCTGATATTGATCTGTAGGCGGTGGCAAACCGCTTTCCAGAATTCCGAGACAAACAGTGGTCCTCTATCAGATACGATTGAATCCGGTAGTCCATGGAGTTTCCAGACATCTCGTACGAAGAGCGTTGCCAAGTCATGTGCTTTCATGTCGGTCTTGCAAGGCGTGAAATGTCTGTCCTTTGACAGCCTATCGACTACCACCATGATTGCGTTGAATCCACGAGCTGTGCGCTGAATTGGGCCAATGAAGTCAACGGACAAGTCCCTCCATCTTTGCAAGGGAACTGGGAGCGGTTTCAACGTCCCCTGGTACCGTAACCGGGAGGTCTTGTTCCTCAGGCATCCGTGGCAATTGCGTGTGAATTGTTTCGTATCGGCGCTAAGCCTTGGCCACCAATAAGAGCGTGAAATGAGTTCGTATAGCTTGTTTTTCCCGGGGTGGCCTGATTCGACGCTGTCGTGGGCGAGTTGAGTGAGCAGGGTCCGTAGTTCGCCTGCGGGTACGTATAGCCTCTCTCGGAAATATAATCGGCCTTCGTTTATCATGCATTCCGATAGAGAAACTTCCTTCGAGTGAGGAGTGCCATGGGGTTTGAGCATCTCGTCCCTGATTTTCATCCACCATTCGTCCTCCTCATAGCCCTTGTCTAGAAGTCTTGTGATTCTGTGGTTGATTGGTTCTGGCTGAATTTCGTCAAGAATGGCGGGACATAGTGCAATTTCTTGTTCCCAGGAGAGATTGGCAAAGAGTTCTGAGAGCTCGGGGTCAAGCTTTAGTTGTTCTTGTACAGAGGAGTCTATGTTGCAAGGCTTAAGCAGCGATTGTTGTTGGTACTGGATGCGGTCGTCATTTTCATCTTTCGGTAAGTCTTGTGATCTCCGTGTGAGTGAGTCAGGTTTTCCTTTCTCTTTCCCAGGCACTGACTTGATAGCGAATTGGAACTGTGATAGGAATTCGCTCCACCTGACTTGTCGTCTTGAAAGTTGCTTGGTTGTCATGAAATATCGAAGGTTGGCATGGTCAGTGATGACTGTAATCTGGTGGTGTGTGCCTTGGAGTTCGGGTCTCCAGCATTCGAAGCAGCGTACAATAGCCAAAAGTTCTTTGTCATAGATCTCGTAATTGCACTCAGCGGGGTCGTACTTCTTGGACATGAAGGCCACTGGGTGTAGCACTCCTTGATCGTCTTCCTGGGAGAGGATTCCCGAAGACACGAAATCGGACGCGTCGCATTCGACGAACACTTCTCTTGCAGGGTCGAAGTGTCTGAGGATTGGCGCTGAAGTGAAGCTATTTTTGAGCATATCGAATGCTTCTTGGCAAGATGAAGCCCAGTTCCATTTGACTAGCTTCCGTGTCAGGGCAACAAGTGGTCGTACGATGCGTGAAAATCCCTTGATGAACCGTCTGTAGAAATTCGAGAATCCCAAGAAGGCTTGAACATCTTTGACGTTGATAGGGGCCTCCCAGTTGATGAGACAGTCGACTTTCTCTGGGTCCATCCGTACTCCAGTGGTTGAGATGATCATGCCCAGATATTTGACTTCAGTAGTCTCGAATTCGCATTTCTTGACGTCAAGTTGTAGGCCTGCGGCTTCAAGTGCTTGGAGTACTGATTTGACGTGGAGTCTGTGGGTGGCGAGGTCGTCTGAGTAGATGAGAATGTCGTCGATGTAGGCCGTGCAATATCTATCAAGGAATGGGCGTAAGACTTCGTTAATTCGAGCTTGAAAGGTAGCTGGGGCGTTTGATAGTCCAAAGGCATCACCATGCTCTCGAAGAGACCATATCTTGTGTTGAACGCCGTCATCCACTCCTGACCCTCCTTGATGCGTATTCGATTAAACGCTGCGACGACATCGAGTTTGGTGAAATACTTGGCTTGGCTTAGCTGGGAAAGGGTCTCGCAGGGATAAAAAATGGAAGGTAAGAGTCAATCTTGTTCATTGTCGTCTATCTAAAATGAATGTGAGAAGTTCTGTCTCCTTATAGTCCTGAGGAATATGACTGCCTTGCGGTGGCGAATTGCCACTTGCCACCCAGGGTGCTTTTGTAATGTTATCTAGAAAGTTCGATGACATCGCTTATCAACCGCGCATTTCATTATACGCATCCTGAATGCGACAAAGGGTCTCCTGGATCAACGGTAGGGGGTAACTGTTCTTGATGGTTATCGCGTTAAGAGCTCGGTAGTCCACGCAAAACGAAGGCCCTCCTGGTTTCTTTAAATAACACCGGCGAGGCTGCCGGTGAGGTGCTAGCGCGTATAAAACCCTTGTCAAGGTTTTCCTGAAGGAATTTCGGAGGACGAGAAGTTCATCTTGGGACATCCCGTACAGAGGTCCATGTGGTGGAGTCGTTCCAGGTTGAAGTTCAATTTCGTGGTCGCAGTCTCGGTGTGGGGGGAGCTTATCCGCCTCTGATTGGTCGAATGCCTTCAGGAATTCATGGTAGTGTTGGGGCACTTTTGTTGCAGGATCGATCAAAGTCTTGGGTTCGAGGGCTTTGTGAATGTCTTCGAGTGATGCCCTGAAAGGTACATATCGGCTGCTGTTTTCCGGGAAGCTCAGGTTCCTGTGTTTGTTGGTCCTTGGGGTTAGGGAGGTGATTCCATCCTGTAGCTGGAGTTCTCGGTTCATCTTGTCCATGTCTGTGAGTGCAGAGTCGAATCGGACCCGTCGGCGTGCTCTAGGTTCTACGAAGGTGGAGGCTTCTGTGATGACTCCAAGTTCAGCTAGCCTTTTGTCGATTTCATACAGTGATAGTGAGAATACGTCGACGTCGCGGTTTTTGGTCAGCATATGGAATGCGGCTGCGCCGACTCTTCGGGGGATTGATGGGCGTGGCAGTATAGTCGTGGTTGCAGAAATTGACAAAGAGGTCTTAACAGGCAGTTGGTATTGTCCTTTCTTCATGCAGTATTTGCGGCAGTGATCAGAGTTGAAAGTGACCACATTCGTGCTCCAATTTACGATTGGATTGTGATCTGTCAGTGTCACGGGCTGTGCCCGGCTTGGTGGACCCGGTTGTACCGGGTCCGGTGGGTCGTGCTCAGGTGGCAGTACCGGCCCCGCTCCGCGGACCCGGAAGCTGCGAGAACATTCTGTGAAGGGCAATATAAGCTCGCACTCGAGGCTACGCCTCGAGTTCGGCTTCCTTTCCTCCTTAGCTCTAGATAGATAACACCTAGGCACCTGCTTGTTGAATAAACTCCGGGCCAGCCTCTTACATATCTAGAGCTCCTTCTAAACACCGCAAGCTGCAGACTGCTCGTCAAGATGGACCAGCAGAGTGAGAGCCCAAGTCTCCAGCAGCAATGGATCGACCAACGCATCCAAGAAGCGGTCAATGCGACTCTCAGCCCTCTACAGGACCAACTTTCCTCGCTGGTGGAGCAACTCGGGCGAGCGCAGCCGCAGAGCGCCGACTTGCAATCGCCGCCAGTGGCACGAGGATTGGGCGAGTACGCCTGGCTTGGGCACGCCCTCCCAAAACCTGCGATACTGGAACGCGGAAACCGTTGCCTAACCCACCCAAGTATGACGGCTCCCGGAAGAGCTACTCCACCTGGGCCAGACAGATGCGAGACAAGCTGGACCTTGATGCCCACTACTACAGCGGAAACCGCGAACTTTGGTACCTCATCAACTCATGTTTGGACGAGCGACCACAGCAAGTGGTCGCTACCTTTTACGCCGCGGGAGGCCCTGGGGGTAGCTACGATCCCCAGGAGTTCATGCGATACCTCGACCGAACCTATCAGGACAGCAACATCCAATCCCGCGCTGCTGCCACGCTGAGAACTATGCGACAGCGCGAAGACCAACCTCTTGCGTCCTTCCTTCCCCGATTCGAACAGGCATTAGCTGAAGCCGGGGGAGCAGACTGGCCGGACAGTGCAAAGATCGTATTTCTAGAGAACGCAATAAATGCACGCCTCCAAGAGAGTTTGGTCACAGCCGTCCTGCCCGACGACTATCAGGGATGGCTTACCGAGCGCCGCTGCTATCGCTGTGGTCGGAAGGATCACCTTATCGTGGACTGCCCAGCCCAGGTGGTCTTCCCCGGTGAAGCAAAGAAGGATCGGACTGTGACCGCCCGCGTGAAGCAACCGGACGCTAGCAACGATTCGGATTCGGCCGCAACATCCAGTGAAGATGACGAGTCGAAGGGAAAGACTAGCCCCGGTGCGAAAGCGGGTGCCGGGGCCTTCAAGGCAGATATCCAAGACTGGAAGACATTTAAGCCGCGTATGAACAGTCGACCCGTGCTCATTAACGCACGGCTCAACAGAGGAAATCCTATACGCGTTCTAGTCGATAGTGGATGTGACTGCTATGCCGTGATCGACGAAGCGGTCGTCCAGAAGTTTCGGATCCCTCTCGTCGATTCGAAGCCTCGAGAGATCGGGGGCTTCTCGGAGTCCTCAGAGAGTGTCACGTCGCCGGGAGTTGTGGCTGTCGTTTTTGAGACCGCCGGTTTTGACGAACGCATCTTTGCGTACGTCGTCCCAAGCCTCGGCCAGGATATGTTCCTTGGCCGGCCTTGGATGGAGAGGAACCAGGTCGTGTACAACGCTGCTAAGCGGCAAGTGTACCACGGAAGAGCAGGCGTGACGGTACGCCTCGTAGGGCAGGAAGAGCCCGCCAAAGTACGCGCGATTAGAAGCGCAAGACTTGTGTCGGCAGCCGTGTTTACGGCAGAGTGCCGGCGTGCAAAGAGACGCCAGAAGTGCAACGCGTTCTCGGTTCAAGCGATCAGCTTGGCAGACATAGAGAAGGCGCTTCAACCGAAGCCGCCAATTGACACCAGTGAGAAGGCCCCGGCAGATGTGCTGGAAAAGTTCCGCAAACTTTTTTCACCCGAAGAAGCCATGAAGTTGCCGCCTCACCGGCCAGGTGTGGACCACGAAGTCAACTTGCAGCCTGGCAAGAACGGCAACGAGCCGCCCCTACCATGGGGACCGCTCTACAACATGTCACGCGAAGAGTTGTTGGTCTTGCGAAAGACCCTGAAAGACCTTTTGGATAGAGGGTTCATCCGAGCGAGTAGCTCGGCTGCCGCAGCGCCGGTGCTGTTCGTGAGGAAGCCAAGTGGAGGGCTGCGGTTCTGCTGTGACTATCGGGCGCTAAGTTAAACGCAATCACCAAGCGCGACCGATATCCACTACCACTCATCGCTGAAACATTGCAGAACCTGGCCAAAGCCAAATGGTTCACCAAGTTGGATGTCGTGGCCGCATTTCACAAGATTCGCATGGCCCGGGGCATGAGTGTAAGACAGCTTTCCGCACAAGGTTCGGGCTCTACGAGTGGCTCGTGTGCCCCTTCGGCCTGAGCGGAGCCCCTGCAACGTTCCAGCGGTACATGAACAGCGTGTTGCGCGAATGGCTGGACGATTTTGTCACCGCATACCTGGATGACGTCCTGATCTACTCGAGCGGTTCGAAGGCCGACCACGAGGCCAAGGTGCGACAAGTTCTCCAAGCACTTGCCGACGCTGGCCTGCACCTGGATCCAGCGAAGTGCGAGTTCTCGGTACAGGAAGTCAAGTATTTGGGGTTCGTTGTAAACGCAGGCAAGGGAATCGCTTGGGATCCCGAGAAGCAGCGCGCCATCCGCGAATGAGAGGCTCCAACTACAGTGAAAGGCGTCAGGAGCTTTCTGGGCTTTGCCAACTACTACCGGATCTTCATCCCCGACTACGCCAAGATCACGCAGCCTCTAGATGCCCTATTGAAGAAAGGAACCACCTTTCGTTGGGGGCGGACGGAGAGCGAGGCGTTTCAGGAGTTGAAGCGACGATTTTGCGAGTCGCCCGTGCTCAAGCAGTGGGACCCAAGTCTCCCGACCTTCTTGGAGACGGATTGCTCAGGCTATGCGTTGGGAGGCGTCTTGGCGCAGGAAGGCCCGGATGGACGTCGACACGCATGTGCCTTCTTTTCGAAGCGACTCTCACCAGCAGAATATAACTATCCCATTCATGACAAGGAGATGCTGGCTATCATGAGGTATCTCGACAACTGGAGTGCCGAGCTCAGGAGCTGCGGCCCGTTCACCGTCCTCACAGACCACCGCAACCTGGAATACTTCATGACGCGCCAGAAGCTCACGGAACGACAGAGCCGTTGGGCTGCTGAATTGTCGCAGTTCGACTTCAAACTCGAGTACCGACCGGATGTGAGGCCGTCGTGCCAGATGCACTGTCACGCCGCGAACAGGACAAGCCACAGGGCATCGACGACGAACGAGAACAAGGGAGGATGATACAGTTGATACCGGATAGTGCAATTCCATCATCGGGAAGAGCACGCATCAACGCCATGAGCCCCGACTGCTCGGAAACTTCTGTCCTCCCGGAGATGAAGGTCTTCGAGGAAGCAGACATGCAACAGCTCTGGGATGAGACGGCCGAGAGGACTCGATTTTTCGGGCTGCTTACAAGGCAGTACGGGATCGCGAGCGTGTCTTTCCGCCCTCGCTAGGCTTGAAGGTCCAGATTTCGGAATGTGCGATCGACACAGGCAAGAGGTTGACATTCAGAGACCGCATCTGGGTACCAGGAGGATCTGGCGAGAAGGGCAGTCAAGAAGAAGCCGACAAGGATCAACTCAGAACCCGCATCGTGCAACAGTCGCACGATTCCACTACGACTGGCCATCCCGGCAGAGAAGGCACGCTGGCTATTGTGGCACGTCGCTTCTACTGGCCCGGACAGTCCCAGCTTGTCCGCCGGTTCGTGGCCAATTGCGATATCTGCGGCAGAGCGCACATCTGGCGCCAGTCCAAGCGGGGATTCCTGAAGCCGTTGCCGATTCCAGATCGACCGCGAAGCCATCTGTCCATGGACTTCATCACAGACCTGCCGCCTACTGGACCCAGCAAGGCTCGGTACCTATGGGTGATTGTGGATAGGCTGACCAAGGCGGTGACCCTTGAGGTGATGGACACCATGGAAGCTGAGGCGTGTGCAAAACGTTTTCTCCAGTGCCATTACCGATTTCACGGAATGCCACGGTCAATTGTTAGCGACCGCGGGAGCAACTGGCTGAGTCGTTTCTGGAAGAGGTTCTGCCAACTCGCCGGCGTCATGCAGAGATTGAGTACAGCGTACCATCCGCAGACTGACGGTGGCCCAGAACGAATGAACCAGGAGATCGAGGCGTACTTGAGAGCCTACGTATCCTACGTACAGGACGATTGGGGTGACCTTCTCCCCGCCGCGCAACTGGCACTCAACAACCGTGAATCAGCAGCGACCAAGATCAGTCCCTTCTTCGTGGAGCATGGTTACCACGTCGATCCCATAAGCGTCGAGGACTCGGAGGATCCATCTCGGGAGCGGGAGGAGAGTAAAGCAGACGCCTTACTCACTCGCCTGCAAGAAGTCAACGAGTACATGCAAGCAGTGATGGCTGCCGCGCAGCAACGACAAGAAGAGGCCGCGAATGTGAAGCGACAACCAGCAGAGCGTTTTGAGGTTGGAGACAAGGTGTGGCTTTCGATGGCAAACTACCGGTCGCCACGACCGTGCAAGAAGCTGGACTGGTTGCATCACAAGTACACAGTCACGAAGGTCATCAGCTCGCATGTCGTCGAGCTTGACGTGCCTGGCTCGATTCATAAACGTTTCCATGTCGACCTTCTCCGGCGGGCGCATCAAGATCCGGCTCCTGGCCAAAAGGTGGATGACGCACAACCACCAGCGATACAAGACGAGACCGGCGAGGATCTATGGGATGTCGACGAGATTCTTTGCGCAAGATGGAAGAAGCGCGGACGAGGGGAATTCAGGCAAGCACTGGTGCGATGGACGGGCTACTCAGAGCCGACTTGGCAGCCAGTTGAGTGGCTGAAAGGAACAATTGCGATGAAGGCATTCGAGGACAAGTACGGGCCAATCAAGACCAATGATGGCCCTAGGCAGAGATACGAGACGCTGACAGGAACTCGAGGAACCCGCCGACCACGGCCTGGTCGGAGGGGAAGGGGTAATGTCACGGGCTGTGCCGGCGGTGGACCCGGTTGTACCGGGTCCGGTGGGTCGTGCTCAGGTGGCAGTACCGGCCCCGCTCCGCGGACCCGGAAGCTGCGAGAACATTCTGTGAAGGGCAATATAAGCTCGCACTCGAGGCTACGCCTCGAGTTCGGCTTCCTTTCCTCCTTAGCTCTAGATAGATAACACCTAGGCACCTGCTTGTTGAATAAACTCCGGGCCAGCCTCTTACAGTCAGCCAGGGTTTTCCGAGTATGACATTGTACTTCCCAAGCTTCGTTACGTAAAAGAGCATCTTCTCCTTGTGTCCCTTGATTTCCATGTTGAGTTTCACCACGTGAGTGATATCGCCGGCCGAGGAGGGTCTTCCATCGACTACGTTCAGCCGGCGACGGTTTCGTAGTTCATAAAGCGTGAGTTTGTTGGCGTGCGCGAAGGATTCGTCTATAAACCCCTTTCCGGTGGCACCTGAGTCAAGCATTGCTTCGGTTTTAATCGGAGTGGAATTGTCTTCGATTAGGTTACAAGGCAGTAGCAAATGAGCTTGGTTAGTGTCCAGGGAAGAGAGCAGTAGATCCATCTTTTTCTTGCGTCTCCTGCGGCGACTTCCGTCGGAGACTACGCTTTTTCCGTCCTCCATGGTGCGGTGTCGCAATTGAGGGAACTGTGGGAATTGTAGTAATCCATTGTACCCATCTAGATAGGTCACGTGCGCTCTCACGTGTGCAGTTGAGGATAGCGGAGGACACATAGCTAGCTCCGTGCCCTTTGCCCCCTCTTCCCCCTTTCTAGAACAGACATCAACGATTACACATACCATTGCGATTTGCACGCAGGCCTGTGTAGAGACCTACCGACACTGATCAGTGGTCGACTTGGTCGATCACAGACAGCTAGGAAGAAGAGACAAATCGCTAACCTTCAAGATCGGCTGCAAGGCATCGGTTGAGGAAGGTTATTTGTGCTAAGTGGCTATCTCAGGCTGCCAGGCATCTGGGAGAACCTACCAAGCTATTAATCGGCTGCAAGGCATCGATTAGTAGTGCGACCACATCGCCTAGCGACTTCTATTATCGGCTGCAAGGCATCGATCAACAGTTGTTACTAGACCCGACAAAGACGTATTTCGACAGCCAGATACGACTCCATCGTCTCATTCACTTGATCAACGATGACCCCGACCGACCGAGCTACGACTCCGAACGAGAGCGCTCAGCTCGAACAATTGAGCGAACGGATGCAAGGACTAGCTATCCAGACATCCGTATTCGATAAAGTTGATGTTACCCTTTGGGGACAAGACATCAAACCTGACGAGGAAGATGAGATCGCAGTTACGACGTACGCCGCTAGGTTCATGTCCAATGCCCAATTCGAACGCCTAGAAGGAGACGACGTCTTGACCACTTCCAACAACACTTCGAAGGCTGGAACCAAGACATATGGAACCGGGTACATATGGACTACAAGAGAGCCCTTAGATTACTTCTAAGGAGACGTGGCATCTATACAGGACGGAAAAATGGCCCTTTTGCACCCCAATTCATCATGTTGCAAACTGTGGAGGACCGACCTGCATGGCCAGAACGAGAGTACATGGAGATGGATTTTGACATTGGGACGACCGCTTATAAGTTACGAGCAACAGGATCAAATGCCCTAACTTCTCCCCGAGAACCCCAATCGCCACCGGTAGCAACACCCCGTTACAGTCTTAACGAACAACAGCCCATTAAGACCTTAACGAAGCCACCTGCCCAGGAACCCATCACTGAGGCACTACCGATAACAACATCACCTCCCACGACTTCCGCTCTGACCCAAGATGCACCTAACTTGAACTCTCGTACAGCCCATCCGACAACCCACCACTTCAAGCACCCCGAACTCGTCCAATCCGCCCAAAACCCCCCACCTAAACCTCCGTCCGAGCATATGCATCTCGACGCATATACAAAACTTCCCCCGGATGATACCCCGAATGCCACTGTTGACGCAGATACCCAATATATGTTCATGAAGCTCTGGGATAAGGACCAGAACTACACAGGAGAGCCGTACGACCTCCTCGATGAGAAACTCCGAATCTTCATGAGTATCTGCTACAACATCCAAGTGAAACCGTCACAATTTCACGCCCTTTTCCCCCGAATCCTCGCTGGAAGAGCACAAACGTTCTACATTGACAAGATCGAATGGACTACCACGTTTAGGAAGGCATACGACAGCATCAAACAACACTTTGACACGGAAGTTAACCATGTCCATTACTATACAGATTGGACCACAACCACTTTCAACTCGATTCGTGCCCAAGATGCTTCCAAATCCCTCCACGAAGTCCTTCAACTACTCTTCGATAAGCTACAACTCTGTCAGAGAGCCCTTGGCCCTGACTACGCAGGAAACATTCCACTGCGTACTACGCTTATCATCGCATGCCGTGGTGTACCCGAACTTGAACACGCCCTCTTCAAACCTGCAGCAAAGATCGAGACCCTCTTTGCAGATCTACGATCTTCCGTTGAGACCCACCTTGCCCGACAGACAAACCCTCAGTATTTGCAAAGCCCTGACGGATCATTTGGACCAACGAATCCGAACAATCAGTACTACCTCGATCGCCGATACCATAACAACCGCGTACGAGGAAGATACGGATACTCAGGACAACGACCCAATCGCGGATATGGACAAGGCTACAACCGTGGAAGCTACAGGCCCTCAAGCCATAGCAACTACCCCTAGCCACACCAATCGCAATTGGACCAAAAAGTGCTTTGTTTGTGGACAAGAAGGTTGCTGGTCAACCAAACACTCTGCAGAAGAACGACAAGAGGCCAAGGACCAATATGTCGCACATTGTCAATTCACAGGCATACAACCTCCAAACTTCATAGCCTATCTTATAGACTACGAAGGTCATGAGCTTGATGAACTCACTACCGACGACATATGGGAAGAACCTGACAATGGCACCAACAATCACCCTAGACAATGGAGAAGTCTACCGGACGGATCAAACCATTGTTCCCGCCTAGCAATTCGTCATTGAAGATCAATATTCAGTGGACAATTTCCCAGGCATCATGATTGACACAGGTGCAGCAAAAGTCTCTACAGCCGGTCACTCTCAGTACATTGCTCTACAACGAGAAGACCCCTCTGTAGCCCTAGACAGCTCAACCTCCGGCCAGGCTACCATCACATTTGGACACGGCGAAGCCACTCACTCGATTGGTTCCATCGCCCTCAAAACACCAGTCGGAAGGATCACGTTCCACATCCTTCAGACCCCTACCCAGGAAGAAGAAGAACCCCCAGACCGGCATGAAACCCCCGCACCCCACAAGAGAGGACGCCTGCCCGGATCAAAGAACAAGCCCCAGCCGCAGCACACGGAGCCTCGAGGACCGGCCGGCACACAAGAGCAAATAACAATATGTGCCTGTAGTCCCTAGAGGAGCCATATGCCCACAAAGAAGAAAAGCTCGAGGAAGCACAATTTCGAGCCAAGCCAAAGACCTCGATGACCACAAGTACAACGGTTGACTCCAACGCATTTGATTAGCACCAGCGCTACGTTCAAGCATCAGCGCTACGTTCAAGGTATACACAATCAAACAGTTCCTGTCACCGACAAGTCTTCCAAATCTTCTTCGACTGTTCACCTCTTTGACCCCAATACACTCTTTCCCCTCTTTTCATTATGGCCCCACTTTTGGGCCTGTTGACATTTTGCCACCACTGCAGCTGGTCTCTCCTCTCTTTCCTGCTCGTTACAGCGATTGCAACCACAAAAGAAAAGTTGCCAGTGTGGGAATTGTAGTAATCCATTGTACCCATCTAGATAGGTCACGTGCGCTCTCACGTGTGCAGTTGAGGATAGCGGAGGACACATAGCTAGCTCCGTGCCCTTTGCCCCCTCTTCCCCCTTTCTAGAACAGACATCAACGATTACACATACCATTGCGATTTGCACGCAGGCCTGTGTAGAGACCTACCGACAGGAACGATGTTTGCCCGAGTTGCACCAATGGCAGAGTCCATGCGCTGTGCAATAGGCTTTGCGTGCCGCTCTCTCTGCTTCCGTTTGGGGTCTACGACCAGAGGCGACATCTTTGGCCCCCCAGGTGATGACGCTCAAATCCATTGAATCCCCGCCGTTAGAGGTCGTCAATTGTGGCGTAGTGGAGGGTTGTAAAGTCGCCTTGTGATTTGCTGAGTTGTCGGTGTTTTTCTTGAAGTAATTGGCATTGACTTGACGGCACTCGTTATCGCAGATACGGACAAGATCCATAAATTGACCAAGTTCGGTAGGGGTATCTTTGCCCTTCGTGAGAAAGTCTCCAGATGACATTGTCGTGGAGGGCACGTCGGAGGTGAGCGATGAGCGCCCCACTATCCCACTCGGTGAGCTTGGCGACGGCATACCATTCGGGGAGGAATGTCGTAAGGGATCTATGGCCTTGTTTCATGTCAAAGATTTTGAGTTGGGCGGTAGCTTTAGCGTCAATATCCCCGAAGGCTGACTGAAGGGTGCTTTTTATGGCATTGACATCGTCGAAGAGGACCACCCCATCTTTAATGTTGTAGCGGACTTGGTCATGTGCTTTGCCTTTTAGGCATGAGACAACATATCCCATACGTTGAGGTTCCGAATTCCACCAATCTTTGTTCATTTCGAGCTTCAACTCGAGGTGCTGAAGGAAATTCGGCAGAAGCGTGGGGTCCTCTCCGGTGAAGGCCTCAGGATCAGGGTGTTCTGGTGTGCGGTGTGAAGCTCCCTTTGACTGAATGATTTTTAGGTATGCTTCATTTTCAGCCATAAGACGGGCGATCGTTGCGTCTCCATCAGTTTTAGTAATGAGCGTGTTTTCTAGGCGGGTTTGGAGGTCCTCCATTTCCGTATTTGTCGTCGTGGCCGAGGCACGTAGTGAATCGATTACTGCTTGCATACTGTATGCGGCATTGCATACGAGGAAGACTTCTTTCATGAGACCGGCTGGGTTAGCAACAAAGGCATTTTGGAATGTTTCATTGATATTGCTGGCGTTGAGAAGGGGGCAGGGGGGCACTCGATCGCAGTGATCGGAATGGTCCGGTATGAGTTGGTATTGGTATGGTAAATACCGCCAAGACCTGGTATGGTTTGACAAAAACTTGATACCATGGTATTACCGGTATACCGGATCATACCAGTAACGCTAAAAATAAGCTCAGGTGAGAGGCTCACTGCGAAGAATGACCAGGCGGAATCCGAGCGGCGATGATTCCAATGTCATCTTTTGGGCTTATTGACCAGTTTTCTGCCAGTTTATCTACTCCATTCAATCATGAAACCATCATCCTCACAATATTGACCTGGCTACCTTGGCCAGGTCGATCCGGCACCGAGCGGATGCTTTTCGTCTTCGCTGCCGGGTAGCTATCCCAGGGAAGGCACGAAGGTAAGGCCAGTGTTAGTGTGTGTTAGAAAGTACTTCTAATTACACCAAGTTTTATGAGTTCTTTTATGTGGGACGGAGCACGACCTAACGTATCACTGGCCGGACTTGTCAATCGCGTCGTCGGAGGGGCAGGAAAAGCTTCAATGATCCTTTCTCTCGAAGGAGAGAGCAAAAGTGGGCATAGAAGTGGATAAAGGTGCTTTTCGAAGGTCGAGTATCATATGATCAGATGGTATGCGAGAATGCATGTGTTGATTGCTCTCTCTCCCCGTTCAAGCAGCCCCTTTATATCCTCCAAGCTTCTCCCAAGTTGATATCCCGTTTTCAGGTATAGTATACATTCTATCAGGAAGAGGGCACTTCTTGCCACTTACTGAAGGCCACGTAAGTCATCTACGTCAGCAACATCAGCTCCATCTCCCCGATCGAATAGCTCTTCTAGCTATGAAATCGATAGTTCAGTCTCTCGAGGTCCCCTGAGCCAGTAATAGTTATGCCGGACTCCTCAAAGGGTCCCCGTTCGAATAGGAGATCCTCCGGACCCTCAGTGGTCTAGGAAGAAGAAACAACAGTCTGCAGACTTCCTTCTTACCTGGTTTCAAGCTGTATTACCTAGAGAGACCTAGAGACCTCAACTCGTTCGGACCTTCTTCTCGACACGCTTACGTCTGCCCATGTGGCCCGGGATTCGCCGGACAACAGGGTATGCACACCTTGGGCCCACGCCGTGTACAACATCTCTTCTTCAGGTACCACGGGTGGATCACGGTGTGACGGGAATTCTCTTTCATCCACTTGATCCAATACTTCTTACGCTCGGGACCAACTCTCACGCGACCACCTGTCCCGCCGCCCGTTGGGCATATGGTCGGCCGCTTCAGCCCGCCCCACACGCCGCAGAGACCCGGGTCGACATGCGAGAGCGCCAAGACAACCACGGCTAGGAGGGGGCGTAGGGACCGCATCACCGATATGGAATTTGATCGGCGGCCAGTAGTGTGGTCCCGATGGTGTGTGTATGAAAAATAGACGCCTGTGTCAAATTTATGGTTATGTGCCTATTTTTCTTTGTTGAAAAAGAAGGTGTCTTGGAGCCAAGGCTTCAAAGTATTAAGGCAGGAATTTTTTCGAATTTTTGTATTGCTTGAATGTGTTGGAAGTGATCATTCTAAAGCTGGACGATAGAGGGGCGACTCCTCCTTATATAGACAATTTCGGATTGAAGAACTAAGTGACATATACTGTCGCGAAGCACGTCTGAGATCTTGAGCTCGGGGTGACCATAAGGGGTATACAGCTAAGGGCCCCGACAGGCTAGACAGAGAGGCAGCCTGCAGAGAGTTCTGAGGCTGCAGAAGGCTATTAGGAGACCGCATTAGGCAGCCACATAGGCTGTAGAGAGACTGCATATACGGGGAAGCTGAAAGAGCCCTCGGCGACTAGGAAAAGTCAGTATGCAAAGGGGGCTGGGAAAGGAGCCCAGCCTCCTAGATATTGTACCTATACAACTGAAAATGTCGGTAGGTCTCTACACAGGCCTGCGTGCAAATCGCAATGGTATGTGTAATCGTTGATGTCTGTTCTAGAAAGGGGGAAGAGGGGGCAAAGGGCACGGAGCTAGCTATGTGTCCTCCGCTATCCTCAACTGCACACGTGAGAGCGCACGTGACCTATCTAGATGGGTACAATGGATTACTACAATTCCCACAGAAAAGGGGATATCAATAGGGAACCAAGGGATATAAATAGGGGGCCTAGAAGAGGGCATTGCAAGAGGGACAGACACGACGGAATACAACAAAAACACACCCATTATTAAAACAATCAATGCCCACTTGCATGCTCTCTTCGTGAGATATACACTTGTACCCAGTACCATATTGAACCATATTGAATGACAAATACAGAGGTGAAATTCCTGACCTTGTAAGTCATCCCGTTCCGAAGATATTTGGTTTCAAAGGTGGTTGGCTGTGTTTGAGGTTGTCGGCATCTAAGGTCTTCCATCTTGTTTTACTTGATTGATCGGGGTTTTTCGATTCCCGATCTCTACTTGATTTGGTATCCGATAATTGTCGAGAAGAAGGTATGAACGAGTTGACGTCTCTAGGTCTCTCTAGGTACCATACCCCACCCCCCTTTGGGTAACACCCCCCTTTGGGTAGCGCAATTGAAAAATCTCCACCAAAAGTCTATCATTTGAACTTGTCACACAACAGGATGCACGGACAGTGTGGGTGACTGAGCAACGATCGGGAAGAAGATCCTGTGAATCGGGCAACGAAAGACTCTTGGTTTTTATCTAAATGAAAGACATATCTCTCTTATATACATGAGTAGAGAGACTAAGAGCAGCTGCTGCCTGCAGGCAGCAGCTTGGCTAGTGTGACTGCCTATTACGGTATACTATAAGTTACCTGAAAACGGGATATCAACTTGGGAGAAGCTTGGAGGGATACAAAAGGGGCTGTTTGGACGGGAATAGGGCAACCGGGAGCAGAGCAATCATCACATGAATAAAACGGACTATCAGATCATTTGAGAATCTACTACGAAAAGTCCCTCTATCAGGGTGGTTTTCCATATATGGAAAGGTGTGCAATCCATACTGGAGTATCGCCCCACATTTATTGCAAGTATTGCAATAGACCTTTCCATTCTTGGTCCGTGCGCATCCCGCAACAGCTCACCTACATGGTCTCGGCAAAACGTGCCAAACACGACATGAATCAATGAAAAAATCAAGGAACAGTTAACGTGAACGTAATGACAGACGACCGGTCAAGGGGATGCCAAGCAGAAATTTGCTCCTTTTGCAGGAAACAGGCGTAGAAGTTGAGCCAGGATTTTACCCAAAATCTGGGGACCCGCCACCACCCTCGGCCCTTGCAAGATATCGTTCTTGAGCCAATGCTTTAAGCATTCTCCTTTTCGACTTGTTTCGCGTCCAATTGGGCTCTTTCCCATGAGATTGTGCGACGCGCCCTGAGAACACCCGCTCAGGTTCATCACTCATCGCCGGCATTGATAGGATGTCTATGGCCATTTGTGATAGCTTGGGCCATCGTTTTCTCTGTTGCTCTTGAAGCCACCATGACAAGGCCGTCGTCGGCGTAATGTCGTACGGATCACATGAAATGTAATCTTCGTACTCGTCCTGGCTTGACGGTCGAGTGCAATTCTGCAGGTTCCTTGAAATGCGATCAAACGCGTCAAGGTCCTCGTCATCATCGTCATCTAGTAAATGTTGCGAGAGGGCGCCATCCACAGTGTCTCGGTATGTGAGCCAAAGGTCTTTGACCTGTTTGAACGCAGGTTTTTGCCACTTCTTCTTCCAATTTGCCTGGATGTATGTTGTGCGATAGCTGGGATGAAGGATCAAGGCAGCTGCATAATAGGGCGATGCTTCTGTCTTGCTATAATATTTGTCAAAGACTTCCCACCCTCGTTTGATCCTAAAGGACAGCTCGGTGTCTGATTTGTACGTGACCTATTGCACCATCTCAGCGCTTGCACAAGGAGATCAGAGGAATGGAAGGCATGGTACCAGGGCTTCATCAAAGCATCGGATCAAGACGTCCATCGTGAAGACTCGAAGAGCACTTTGTCCAGGGTCGCATGATCCCCTTGTGTTGCTAATGTCGCTCGGGCGAACGGTTGAAGGGTCTTCTCAATTATTCGGAGCCGGGCCCAATCTTCCGGCAATAGAAAATCCGCAGAAAGATCTTCGAAATGATTCTTGGTGTAGGTGTCCAGAGCGCTGGCAGTTTCCTGCTGAGTGGCAACATGCAGCATTTGATACCAGCTATTCCACCTCGTACGATTGTCAAGTGGAATGCCCCTTTCAGCGAGTTCCATAAACTCTCCACTGCGTCCTGATGAACTCCGGATGTTGACAACCAGGTTGTGGAGCTTACCAAGTGGTCCAAGGCGGCGAAATTCGGTGCGCTGCCTTTGAACTTTTGCCAGGTCATCTGCGTCTTCGCATATTTCGCCCTCTTTCAAGTCAATAGAATTCTGGAACAGGAAAGCTTGAACTGCCAAGTTGATAACGTGGCCTAGGCATCGGAGGCGGTGAACTTCAGGATCCCATTTGACGCCCTCTTCCTTGAGATACGTGCTCACTGCCCGGCAGAGGGTGTCATTCGTGCTCGAATTATCCCCAACGATGCTTCCAAGGCGTCGCAGAATACCAAAGTCCCGCAAGATGGGAAGAAGTGTAACGAATTGCTCCTCCCGGAATGGTTCGCCACAGGCCGAAGTGCAGGAGAGCTTTCCGTCGTGCTTCTTGTGCGTGGTCAACAAAGTGGGAGCAAACCCGAGAAGAAGGAGCCGATTGGGGACGTCCTAATGTCAAGCGAGAGGTGAACCTTGGATTTTGCTGACTGGAGCTTCATTCGCACGATATCCTTGGCCGACTGGAAATGATTGTCGATAATTCGTGGAATAGTCGA